TTTATCTATCTAATTATCTATCTATCTATCTATCTATCTATCTATCTATCTATCTATCTATCTATTTATCTATCCATCCATCTATCTAGCTATCTATGTTTTTTTCATGGGTAGGGGTGATGAGGGCTACGGGCTGTCAGTTTACCCTGCTGTTGTTGTTTCTCGGACGGCTGTAGGGTGTTTTTGCTCGCCGTTGTTGCCGCCAGACGTGTCTCATCCGAATTGGCCCAGGCTGGGAGCGGTTGTCCTTGGTGGATCCGTGGAAGATCCATGGAGGCCTGTATGGCCGTTTTGGCCGTGCAGGTTGAGTGTTGGCCGCCGACGTGCCCTCAGCCAGCCCCGAGAGCGCCTGTCTGGAAGTGCTGGGGCTGGCAAAGTCTGGATTGTCAGTGGAGGCTGCAAAGAGAGGGGCAGCAGGAGGGTGGTCAGGACAGCCAGGCTGCGAGCAGGAGAGGCCAGTGTGGTAGCGAGAGGCCTCGTGGAGCCAAGCCGCGTGCCCAAGGCCCAGCTGTCATCCCCAGCCTGGCCCGTGTACCTGTGGCATGGCACTGAGTGCTTTGGTGCCTGCCGGAGTCGGGGCCAGCAGAGGCAGTGGACTTGGAGGAGTGGGTGCTGTTTGCCAAAGATGAGCAGCGCTGGTGGGTGCCCATGGCAGCGCAGGAGCCACACAGACAGAGTTGCCAGGGTCTGGAGGAGCAAAGGTTGTGAGGACAAAGTGCCCCAGAGCAAGGGCTGGCCATGCCTATGGCAGAGCCCTCGTTCTTAGTTCCTCCTCTGTGAGCCTGTGGGGAGACAGGTCCCGTTGAGATGCCTGCATTGCTACTTTGGCGGCTCACCCGTCTGCCTCCGCGTGCTCCCTGCCTCCGGGACAAAGGCACGTTGCGGCATCGCAGCGGCCGTGCCTCTGACGTGAGGGTCTGATGTCTGGATCACTGTGCCATGATGGGGGGCTGCAGGAGAAGGAGGGGGAAGAACTGAGGCCAGCTGAGCCTGGGCCAGGCACATGCCGGCAGTCTCTGCTCCTGTGCTGGTCCCTTTTCCAGCTCCTAGGTGGAGCTGAGGGCAAGAGGCACGGGGCCAGAAGGTGGCCAAGCCTGGCGGGGGGCAGTGGCTAGGCTGGCAGTGGGCTTGTGGGTGATGGCTTGTGAGCTGGGAGGAGAGAAAAGCCAACCTCTTGGAGAGCCGGATCCCCACGATGAGCATATTGATCATGAATGGCTCTTGGTTGAGGCAACGTGGGCATCGGAAGGCAATGCCAGCGTGCAGAGCCATTCTCTGGATGCAGTGCCGGTGGAAGCGGGCGTCTTGGCACACGGGACATCCCATCGTTGTGTAGGAAATTCTGTCTTCCATGGTGTCCAGGCAGATGCTGCAGGTGCTGTCCTGGCTTGGTCGTGGCTGCAGCGCCTGCTGTGGGCGGTGCTCCCAGCAGAAGGACCTGTGAGGGAGATGGAGGAGATGGGTGAGGGAAGGCAGGAGGTGCAGAGTGGTTTGGCTGTGATGGCAGCGTGGGTGGAGGAGGTGTGAGGGAGCCCAAGCAAGCCCTGTGTGGGTTCTGCCCTCATGTGTGGCAGGTTGCTGGCAAGTGTCCCCGTGGGCTCCTCCCTTAGGTGTGCTGTGTGGATAAAAAGGGCTTGGCGATGAAGACAGGGGCTCGGAGGCGAGGACGGGCAGCCCTTACCTGTAGGCCCCAAAGTACTGGGTGACGCATTCGCCGTCTGGGGCGCAGGGCAGGTGGAAGGTGCGGTCACAGCCCGTGTGGCAGCAGGTGATGCTTGCCCCCATCTTGTAACAGATGACACAGCTCTGGAAAGAGCACAGCAGGGCCGTGAGTGTCAGGGCTTGGGCTTTGTGTGCGGTCTGCATCTCCAGTGGAGGAGCGGGATGTGGGCAGTGCCGGCTCAGAGCCTCCAGAGCCGCCTGTTCATGAGGCTGCTGCGTGCAGCAGGTCTGGGGCTTGTGTGTTGGGGAGCAGGAGGAGCTGTGGCAAGCCTGTCCTGGTGCAAAGCTCGTGCTCCTGCCAGGTCGCCCTCACCTTCTTGGCTGCTTCTCTGATGATGCGCCTGGTGTCCCCAACGAGAAAGCGTCCGGTGTTGTCATTTGGGTAGAGCCCAGTAGCGAGGATCTGCGGAGCAGAGAAGGTCAGGAGCTTCTTAGTGCCCTGCTGGGCAGAAAGGTGGAGGGAGCCCCAAGAGAAATCACCTGGCAGTAGGTGTGGACACAGAGCTTGAAGTTCATTCTTTTGTGCCCACAGATGTCGGTGTCTGCCTGGGTCCGGTGGCACAGCATGCACGCTGGGGAGAGAGAGCAAGTGCCCCAAGCATAAGCACGTGTGTGGGGCTGGACAAGTGTCCATGCAGGATCAGCCCCAGGCCCCTGCTGGGTGTGTGCCGTGCTGGCTGAAGAGCAGGGCAGGTGAGGCAGGGTGTCCCAGCAAGTGGGCAGAGCCCAGGCTGGTTGGGCAGCTGCCGGCTCGTGCCGGCATCGTCGTTGCCAGCTGTCTGCCTGCCCCGACACCCCCTGTGGCAGTGACAGGGAGCTGTGGGGAAGGAGACTTTTGCTGTCACCTTTCTCCTCGCGGACATTTTGTGGCTGTGCCGTGTTGGTTCCTTTCCGAGTTGATGGTGAGTGCCTGGAGCATCTCTTGGGCAGCAGTGCAGGTGTTCCTCCTCCTGGCACTTGTGCCCTAGCCATGAGTGGAGAGAGATGGGTGTGAGCTGCGTCGGAGGCACCAAAAGGGTGGGACTTACCTCGTGCCTCCACGAGCAGCCTGGAGCGAGCTGTTTCTCTGTGATCCTCTCCTCAACTCTGGGGGTTGTGTTGCCGCACAGCCAGGTTGTACGGCCTAGGCCGGAGTGGTGATGTCACTGGGGCCACTGTGACGTGGCCAGCAGCCATCTGTGGGCTCCCCCAGGAGCATGCTGTGTGATGGTGTGGCAGTAGTGGCTGGCTTGGAGGGGATGGGATTTAGTTTTTGGGGGAGTGAATTTTGTATTTGTGACCAAATCAACGTGTGTGATCTCAGAGCGCTGTGAGAGCCGTGGCCGAGCGGAGAGTGCCGAGACCTGTCCTGCTCCTGAGCCCCGACACCAGGGGCCAGGCTGGGGGCAGCAGCTGCTGGCAGGGCCCGCAGGTGTGACAGGAGATGGCCCGGATGGCAGGGTTATCCCACAGCTGACAGCATGTCTGCTCAGCAGCACAAGTGCAACTTTTTGCTGCTGCTGCTCTCACACTGGTGCCCCATCACGCAGCTGGTGTGAGGCACTGTGGCCTTCTCATCACATGTGTGATGTGCTGTGATTTGTTTTCCTGATTAAAGTGTCTCAGCCCACAAGTCTTTGTCCTACCAGTACCTTTTCCAAGCGTGATATCTTTAGTGTGTTGCTGACCAGGATGTGTTCCATGTCCCATCAGCATTCTCTGCTCCCATGATATAACTAGCCTCGTGTCTGCCCCTGCCCTCTCAGGCCCTCATCCCTTTCTCACAGCTATCTCAGGCCATGCTGTGAGTGTGGGGAATTGCATTTGGAAAGCTGAGGAGTGGAATAGGATCTGTGGGTGCTGGCTGACAGCAGTAGAATGTGAGGTGGCATGTGCCCATGTGCCAGGAACGCCAATGGCAGCTGGCCTGTAGCAGTACTGGAGCAGCCAGGAGCAAGCAGTTCTCATCTCTCATCTCTCGGTGCTCGGACTGCTGAGGCTCCTTGAATTCCAGAGTCGGTTTTGGGCCCCTCAAGATGAGAAAGACATTGAGGTGCTTATGCACATTCAGAGAATGGAACAGAGCTGGGGTAGGATCCAGAGCAGACATTTGATGATGAGCAGCTGAGGTAGATGTAGGGCTCAGCCTTAAAAAAAGGAGGCTTGGACAGAACCTTACTACAACTGCTTGGAAGGACATTGGAGCCATTTGGGGTTTGTGTCTTGTCTCGGGGGAACAGGTTTGTGTGTATGTATGAAACACACAGGAAATGTACAAGGCTACTCCGGAGGTGATGCTAAAACATAGCACATACTTTTGAATAAATAAGAAGCAGATAGGAATTAAAACCAGTTCCCAGAGGTGGTCACTACCAAAGGTTACTTTGCTGATAAGAGATATTGTTATTCATTAATACGAGTCAAGAACTTTTTTAAGGCAAACCAGATTTGGAGATTTTGCAGATATGAAAAACCTCTGAAGAACTGTCATACTCTTGGAGGTCAAGTCTGGCCCTCATTTTTGCATACTCTGGCTTTCATGTGATTTTTGTCTTGGGTGCCTGTACATGTGGAGCTTGGTATCATTGTCCCAACAGTCCCAGGAGAACTGAAGGCAGTGGCTTTATTCCCTCTTTGGACAGCTGGGATGTACTGGGGGAGCTGCATCACTGTGCCCAGATTGCCTGGCCAAAGTTTCTGTTTCAAGTGAGAAATCCGAAAAATCCGAACCTTGTGTTTCTTGCAGTGTCTGTTCCGTGGGGGTAAGCTTTCTTCCTTTGCTATATAATCTAATTTTTCCCTCAAATCCTGAATTCCTGACTTGTTTACTGCTGCTGACCTATTTACTGGTCTGCTGAAAGCAGGGGTTTCCTATGCAGTGATCTGATTTATGTGCCACCTTTCAGTCATGCCTTTGTAACTCTGGCAGTACACACCCAGATTTGGATGTGATGGGTTTTTTCTTGCACAGGTTAATAAAAATGTGTTTTGGGTCTGTCTGACACAGTTCCAGGGCTGGAAAAAAAGAAATAGTGAAGGTCGAGAAGTTGTTGGCAGGAATTGTTCTAAAATCTGCATTTCACAGTGAACTCATCATCAGTACAGGAGATATAATGGGCATGGTTAAATAGTTTAGTCATAGGTAAAAGCAGTGGGAACAATTATACTTCATGTTATATCCAATTACATCATTCCTCCCAAAGAGATTCGGTGCAATTCCCAAGATTTTCCTTTAGGAAATACAGAGCAGAAATAAAACATTTTGCTCTGCAGCACATGGTAAGAAGATGTAAGAAAGAATGTTTGTTGCAAGAAAATTTGGAGTGAATGTTCTGCTGTTCATTTGTATTTATTCTTTCTCCAGGACAACTGGACTGTCCCAGGATGTTTTCCCTTCCCCAAGTCTTTCTGTGCCTCACCCATTACATTAAAACTCATTAAAACTCATTTAAACCTCACTTAAAATCTCATTCATTACAACTTCATCACCTTTAATTTCTAAAAGGTCTGTCTAATGATACCCTTAAATATCTTGGGAGAAGCATCTCAGACGTTCTTGAAGCTATCTGGGAATAGTTTAGGGTGTGTTTTCTGTGTCTGGGTAGCATCCAGGGGACTGTTTTTACAGATGAATTGATGACAGGATTTTTCCTGGGCACAGCAGGGATGGTGCAGTTGTGCCTGGGAGAGCCCAAAATACCGAGTGAACATGGCTGGCACTGCAGTTCCTACCTTCAGACCCAGCAATGCCAGGTTTTGTCAAGGGCAAAAGGAGCACATTTCTGTATGTTTTCAATTCTGCTGTTCCAAGTTTAGGGAAGACAGGAGATGAAGGAGTATCCCAGGCTTTTTTGTTATCTTAGGAAGTTGATCTGTTTGAGGCCAACTGATGACATTTCATTAAGCAATGAACTGTTGGATATGGTTTTCCTAAGCCAGACAGGAGGACATCAGAAGCAGTCCATTGCACATTCCATTGCCTGACACTCTCCCCAGATCAAACTTCTCTTTTAAACAAAATTTATTCTGAATATGATTAGAATTACTTGCCCCTATGGGAGGTTTACCCCAATATAAGGCTTAAAGGCTTTGAAACAAACCTTTTTTTTTTTCAGTGTAGGAGAAATATGGCCTTTATTGTAGACTGACAAAACCCAGGAGATTGATTGATTGATTGATTGATTGATTGATTATTTCCTGAGCTAGAGGTATGTGTAAACCACAGGGCTGGGATAGGATGGTAGGGAGGGGGTTATGGTTTCTTGGGCCTTTATAGGAAAGTCTGCTTTTTCTCTCTATTACCTTCTCATCCCAGCTGATTTGTATCACCTCCAGTGGTTTACAAGGATTATTTATTTCTACTACTTGTAAACCATTTCCCTTAGTGCAAAACTTCTCTCAAAATGATGTTTTCTCTTTTCTTTATATACAAATTACTCAGCCCAGCATCCTCTCAGGCCCAGGCTGCACTGTGACTGGCACCCTCTGTCATCATTTTCCAGATCTCATGTGTCTTGGTTTCCTTTCTTGGGGGAAAAATTCATTATCTCAAGTAGGGAGGGGAGTTACAAATGTGTTTTAAGAAATGACCAGATGAGCAGTGAAACTTGGTGCTCCTGGTGCTAAATACTGCTCTTCGTGGATCTCACAGAATCTTCAATTGGTTTGTGTGCTGCAGCTGCCTTGGCCAAAATCTCTCTGCATCCTGCTTCCCAAAGAGACAATCTGGGCTAGCCCAACAGCCCCAGTCCCAGCTGTACCCTCCCTACCCTCAGACAAACACACATAACTCAGTAAATGGCACACATTTATAACATTCCTGGTGAATGCCTGGGCTTGCAGGTTCTGACTCAACACAGCAACTCCTTTCTCACCAGCTGCTTGGGAGTAGTTGGTATTTACAGACCTACAGGGCAAAAATAAAGATTGATGTGCTCATGTCAGCCTTGCCCTCACCAAAGATGGTGCTACTGATCTTTGCCAAATGCTACTGAGCCAATGGTGAAGCAATCTGAAGATAATATGCCTGGTGATAAATTAATTGCAATTTAAAGTTTGTTTGTTTTCCTTTATGAATCCCAAAGAAAGCAAGAGGCACTATATATAACACAGATGGTATATTGTCAGGCAAGGAAACAGAATTAACAAAGCTTGGAAGGACTCAAATCTGGGTGAAGGAAAGCTTCTGTCATGGAGCAGGGGTGAGGGATGGATACTGAGAGAATCATTAAAAAGTGATGATTTCTTCATTGTCTGTGTATCTGTGTTGTCTCAGGAGCTTCTCCCCGGGGGTTTTGTGGAAACCACGCTGAGTTTTGTCTTTGGGGAAGAGTTTTCAGTGGATAAATGCACTTTTACTCTTACCCCCATTTTATCACCCAGTCTGAACATTATCTGAGTGCTCTGATGCTGTAGTGTCTAGGAGTGCAGTCTGTTTGGCTTCTTCTAAAATCTGCCCCAAAGTACCCAAACAACACCCCCCAGATGTCAGTGCCTGTTTGTGTGCAGAGCTGTGTGATTTCTCCCTGTGATCATCTCCTGGCTGAGCAGGAGGAGAGGCTTGTCACAGCAGGCTCCTCATGTGCCTC